CTCTTGCCCTCATGGAGGGGAAACACACATAAATAAGTTAAATACTAGAGAGTGATATATAATACAAAAAAGATATGCTAACAGTCCATAAAGTAAGAGAAGTACAGGCAGAAAATGGAAAACTTGTAGAAAAGATACACAATGGTATTTTAAATGTATAGTAAAAAAACAGTATTTTAAGTATATAGTAAAAAAGTCACATTTTTTATTGATTGATTTTTATAATACAGCTACATCAGCAATACAAAACAGGGGCAAGGTCTGCTAGACCCAATGAATTTCTTTACATTATGCCTGGGAAAAAATATATCAAAAGAAGAGGGAACCTGAACTTTTACTTAACAGGATAGTATTTGCCAAAAACTAACTAGCAATATACAAAATATCTATTTAAAATTAATATGACGTGACCATAGACTGACTATAGAACACAGATGCTCCTCTGACTTTTGATGGAGCTACCTCCCAACAAACCCACTGTAAGTTAAAAATACTGCAAGTCAAAAGTGCACTTCCAACTTAAAATATTTTCAACTTCGACAGGTTTATCAAAACTTACCCCATCGTAAGTCAAGGACCATACTTGAATGCCTATTGCTTTGGAACCAACATTAAGTCAGGGACCATCTATATTTGCTGTCATTATACAACTAAATCCAACTTAAAATATTTTCAACTTCGACAGGTTTATCAAAACTTACCCCATCGTAAGTCAAGGACCATACTTGAATGCCTGTTGCTTTGGAACCAACATTAAGTCAGGGACCATCTATATTTGCTGTCATTATACAACTAAATTAATGTTTCTGTGGAAAATCTCAGAACTCCTTAAAATATAAAATTTCCAGTATTTATCTACACATCCTTAATTTAATTTTTCACACCCATTAGGAACAATAAAATATAATTAAAGTTAATATAAAAAGGTTTACATATCAAAATAAATCAAAATGCAGGAAATTCTTCTAATATAAATTTTTTTAAATGTGGTTTTATTAGTATTAAGGCCTTCCATGATTTTAAGATGCAACTATATATTTTTAAAACCACTTTATTCAAATGCAGAACACACCTTTTATTTTTGAAATTCTAAATATTTTTTAAATGAAAATTATGATTATCAAGTTGCAAATGAAAAAACTCTAAGGAAGAAGAGCTACTGTCACAGTCAAGTACAAATAATAACTTAAAATTTCCCTTTTAACAAAAATACCATGATCCATATAACAAGAACAGAGGAAATTAAAAGTCCACAAAATCTCCTTAAAGTGGAGAAGTGATGGACTGATGGGTACACAACTATGCTATCTACTATAAGTGAATCATTGTGCAGTATATGCATGCATTGAAATAATACACTGTACCCCACAAAAATAAATGTTAAAAAAATTTTTTTAACCCTCGAAGTATTTTGTCATGTTTTCAATACTATAAACAGCATGCTACTTAGCATGTAGAAAAACAAAATTATCAGAGGAAATGCCATTTTCTATGACTAAAGACGTACTGATGTATCTCACAGTAATTCGTAAAAAAAACCCTGCAAATTCATAAAAGAATTTATGAAAAAAGCTACAAGTCTACAATTAATTTTGTAATTATATTTATAGAAGTCTACTACATAAGACAGCTATTCAAAAAACTCTATTGTGAATTCTTTCACTAAGTAAATATTAATCCTATATTTTATCTTTTCTAAAAATATATGTTTATATTAAAATCTATAATCAAAAGAAAACTTACACGTTATAAACAAAGATAGCATAATGTTTACATAGCATTCATTTCAAGGAAAGAGAAAACATATAAACATGTTAAGTGCATTTACAAAGGAAGCAATAGGTTAAGTAATGACTGCTTTACAACTGAAAACAACCAACAAAATCTTTTTTTGTAGTTAAACTCACTTATACTGCCACATTAAATAATTCCTCCTGAAGCCAGTTTGTTGATCAGTTTCTTTCATTAGCAGAACTACAACGCGAAATCCTTGACAATACACTTATTGTAACATTATTTACAAACTAATTTACTCATCTTCCTGACACTATCCATCCCATATTTGAGTGTTTTAAGTCAACTATAATCACACAAAATACATGCATCTACAATGAAAATCATTCAGTTTATTTCACATTACATTGATGATTCTTCACCAAACTCCCACAATTCACCTGAGAGGTAGAAATGGATCTCTACCTTTGGCAAACAAAAGCAGAAAAATTACAGCCACGACTGCGTTGGAGAACACCTATATTTTACCTCATGCTTAAACTCTACTCTTCAAAACTTTTAATTCTTTGGGCAATGCATGTGAGAAATAGCACCTGAAAACCAAGTATTGCTGTTCTCATATAATATAAGAAGAATAAAGAGGAAAAAAGAAAGAAAAATATTTTGACGAAGATGATTGAGACAAGGGTATTGTTTATGGTAGAAACTCTTTTGTCCTGAAGTTTCTCAGTTCTTTTCTTGTCTGTCATACAGAGGACAATAATAGATATTTCACCTTACATTTTTGTTTTAGTGTTTTAGATTAAGACTAAAAATTGAAAAAAATTCATTTTTAAGATAATATTAGAGGCTTTCAACCTTTAAAAAGTCACTGAGTGCCCTAAAGGAATTTTATTGATTTACTTATTAAATACATATAATTAAGTTCTGATAATTCTTTAATGCTTATTATTTTCAAATTTTTTGAGAATCAGCTTAAATTTTCAAATGTCATTTTCATCATGAGTCTATTGAACAATAAAGCCCTAAACCTATAATTCAAGATATATTACGTTTCAAGCGACTAATTCATATTCCACTACCAAATAATTAACAAGTTAATAATAAACAGCTCCTTTTGTCATTTATTCTTTTCCCCAAAAGTTTCCATTTAAAAATTCTTTTGCATTCTTTAAATACATAAATCTAACTTTTTTTTTATCCCCCAAATCATTGCAGTTACAAGGCTTTAAGTGGATTTGGGGATATACCATTTCAGTATTACCTTATTTCTAATGACTCTAGGCTTAACGGTAAGGTTAATCCCCAAAATAATGTTTGCACACTGAGAATTCATGCCAGATTTTCACTGCACTAAAGAGTTAAATTTCTTCTGTACCTCAAGAGAAATATTTCATTCCCTTTCTTAATCTACTGTATATCTAAAGGACCCCATTTGTTAAGAACTGATCCGGCATACACTGCTACCACTGCAGAGTCCAAACTTGTTACATATTCAAATCACTTCCCAGCTTGTGAAAGCTTTACTACCTCTTATCAAGTTAAAACGTATTAAGGAAACATACAAATACTTAATAAAATAGCCTAATATCATATAATCTAAAATAAAAATGGTAATGGCCAGATGAAAACTGAAAAAAACCTAAAATGTATTTTTTTAATCCTTTAAATATACAGCAATACAGTACCTGCCAACATACTGACATATTTGGAGATTTCATCTCTTTTCTTTTAAAAATAAAAAAATTGAAGTACTGCCTACCTATTTGCAGAGTTAGAATTAAAACTCACAAGGAAGCCATATTTCTAGCAGTATACTGAAAAGAATATGGTTATATCAACGTGCTGACATTCCCCCAAACTTATATTGACTTTTTGTGATCTATTGGAAAGGTATGCAAAAGTAGAAAGAGGTGTTTTGTATTTAAACAGCAATAAATACAACAAAGTAAAAGAGATAATCTCCTATCTTTGACTTGACACAATAGCAAAAAGAAAGAAAAAAATAGCTTTAACTTTTCTTTGAATTTAAGAGGTTTACAAACGGTAGATATTATCCATGTCTCAGGACATCACTGCTGTAGCTGCAGCTTTCTTTCAGTTTTCTAATAGATCAAATAAAAACAATTCCTTAGGCGAAAAATCAGACTGCACGGGTGTTTTAAAATCCCCCTGCAAGCATATTTTTATATTGCTGTGACTCCACACCAAATAGTCAAATGACTGCTCCCGATTTATGGCTTGCCTACCAAAACCCAACCTTACAGTTTGTCATATTTCAGAGGAAACTGTTTAAAAAGCTTTGCTGCATCAAAAACTCCATTTTCAAAGCACTAAAAATGAACAACTCTTAATTATCCTCAATTTATGATTCTCCTCTTCTTATTTCCTCTCATTTCTTCCCTTGACATCTTGAATGTTTCTAAGCCTCTCTGTAGATAGCGCAAAACATTAAGTCATACACAGTTCTGCAGTAACTCTTTCTTATCATGAAAGAAACCAAAACCTAAGCTGCATTTAACACCTTTCCTTGAGTCTTTATCCACAGGCCACGCTCCTGAAGGCAACCATAGAAACCAACCTGTATGATTTGGTGCCCTTACATTTCAACACCTTGCATGCACAAAAAAAAAAAAAAATTGACCGAGAGATCAGCATATTCGGGGCAATATTACAAAGAAGGGAAGGCTGCCCAAGATGGGGCGAGTTGGGGAGTGAATACAACCACAACAAGCTCCATCATAGCCTCGGAATATATTTAAAGATAGATGCAAAACTGCATCATTTTCCTCCTTCCTCAAAAACATCACACCCCAGCTGCTCAAGTTGGAGTTAATGTGCTCCTCACATTTCAGTAGCACGGGGGAATTCAGGCTCCAGGGACAAGGTTGTCATCTTCAGAGAGCGATGACACGGACAATTAAGAGTGTGGGAGAAAGAACCCCAGAGAACAGGAGGCCTCTTCACCCCCTAACCAAACTCTAAAGTCCACCCAAAACCTTCACGGGGAGGACTGATTTACTCGTAGTCATGAGAAGTGATAAAAAGCGGTGTTAAGTTGGGCACTGAGCTCAGGTAACAGAAGAGGACCAGAAGAGAGGTGGGAGGTGGCGTGGCTTTGGCAGCGAGCAGGCAGGTCACCCGGTGAACGATCTCTGTTCCCAGGAACGCGCTGCGTGTGTGACCCTGGGGGTGGAGGGACGCAAGCGAGAGGCGCTGGGGACGGAGGGTGTGGGGGCTGGGGAGGCAGAAGCCTTTTCCCTTACCAGGTTGAGCACCGTCTCCACGATGTCCCTGTTGCTGACCTCTCCGACCTGTATGAGTCCAATCAACACTGCGAATTTCATCCGGATGTTGCGGATCGGCACCGAAGGGTTAATCATCCCCGCGGGGAGCACCACCGAACCGGAGCCGGACGCCCCCCTCAGCTCCCCCATCCCGCTACCCCCG